TATTATTATTATTTTATCATTATTTTTATTAATTTATTATTATTACTTTAAAGGTATGAACTGTGCTCTTGATATGTAGCTTGATAAGTAGCAGGAGAGGACTTGTCTTAATAAACCTAATAACTATTAATAACTATTAATAACTACTGGATAACTAACCTGGTGAATGGACATTCTGAAACTAAAATAAACAAATAAATAAATAAATAAATAAATAAATAAATAAATGAATAAATAAAAATACAAGTCAAAATTAATAAACTTACATTTTCCCATAACTGTGCTAGAAAGTATTCAGAAAAACTCTACACAAAAACAGAAAAAGTTCCTGTACTATAGTACATGGTCATTGGCTAAATATCATCAAAAATGAAAAGGTGAGAATTCTCCATTTTTATTACATTTTTGATACATATACATGTACTTATGTTGCATAGAAAATTTAAACTAATTCCAATCAAAATTGAATTTTTTTACAAATTTTTTAAGTTTCTTAAAAATTGGACAAAAGTCCCTGTACTATAGTACAGGGGGTTCGGTCAAATTTTGCCAAAAATGGAAAGGTGAGAATTCCTCAATTTTATTACATTTTCTGATACATTCTTTGTCTGACTGACTAACTTTATCAAAACTTGTCATTTTAAATATTAAAAATTGAACGTAAGACGACTTGTGAGTTAAACAGACTTGATTAAAAAATACCTATCAATGTAAGGTAATGATATTCATAGTCTCAAGGGCACACCCACTTTAATGAAGGACTGAAATAAACTGCAAGCAGAATCAAGAGACAGTTGATCTAAAAAAAAACATTAATTATTAATTAAAAGTAAAATATTCTCAAGACTGCTTTTACTACCTTGATTTAAGAAAATACTTAATACCCAAGGCTATAGCCCACAGTTTTTTCCAAAAAATTGCTCAGAAATCACCCCAAATTTTTATTACATTTTTTGATACATATTGATGCCCTTATGCTGTGTAGAAAGTTTGAGCTGATTCCGACTTCAATTTTTCAAGTTACGGCCATTTAAAAAAAAAACGGCAAAATTCTGAAAAATACCCAAGGCTATAGCCCATGGTTTTTTCCAAAAAATGGCTCCGAAATCACCCCAAATTTTTATTACATTTTCTGATACATATTGATGCCCTTATGCTGTGTAGAAAGTTTGAGCCGATTCCGACTTCAATTTTTCAAGTTACGGCCATTTTAAGAAAACAGCAAAATTCTGAAAAATACCCAAGGCTATAGTCCATGGTTTTTTCCAAAAAATGGCTCCGAAATCACCCCAAATTTTTATTACATTTTCTGATACATATTGATGTCCTTATGCTGTGTAGAAAGTTTGAGCCGATTCCGACTTTAATTTTTCAAGTTACGGCCATTTTAAGAAAACGTCAAAATTCTAAAAAATACCCAAGGCTATAGCCCATGTTTTTTTTTCAAAAAATGCCCCCCAAAATCCCCTCAAATTTTTATTCCATTAGAGGGGGACCCGTTCCCTCACCTCCTTCATAACTCAGTTCATTAATGAACTCAAAGAGGACACTCATCATCACATCAATACTGTCAGCCATCTTGTCCTCCATGTTGTCATGGAA